TACATCACACCCTGACTGGCTTATCTCATCGCCGAGACCCCTCTGCAAGGGGATCTCCAGTGGCCTACTAATAGGCTTTGGGTCTTCACTCTGCACTCCCCCCATCATTCACTATGGTAAGATTTTTTTGTTTTGATGATGCCTTATACCTGATCCCTTCGACATCTCGTGATCACACAGGCTAGTGTGCTTCTTCCATGTGGGCTTTCATGTGTTGCTTCTGAGGTAGATGGCCGCTTGTTTACCTTCAAGCCTTTAAGATCCCAGCTGCTATATCTTTTGATAGCTGGGCACCATCAGCTTTCTTCACCAAATTTACTTATTCACCTGCTTTGTCTTTAGCAGTTGTGTAGGGAAGGTGAAAATCATAGAATGCCAATTTAATAGAAGAAAGTATTCTTGCATTGAGTGGAGGCCCAATATCCTTCTGCTACCTTAATACTAAACCTATAAATATATGCACATAGGTATATTTCTCCATCCTCATATATAAATATATTTGCATATGTACATGGCTTTATCTCCATCCTCTTCTTCCATTCTCCCTTTATTTTATCCACATAGATTTTCTACCCATACCTGGATTAGCTCAGGGTTGTGTTTCTGTCTTATTTACTGATGCTCCCAAGAACATGTTACCTGGCAGTCAGTGCATTTGTGGGGAGAGTATTTCAGGAAGAGAAAATGGGAAGAGGAAGACCCCCAAATGGGAACAAGCTCCGTACCATCCAGGAAGAGGGAAAAGGCCAGTGTGTCTGGAGCTAAGTGAGGGCAGAGATGAAGTACAGAAGGCAGGCCATGGGATACGGAGCTTGACTAAAACGATACCAAGCCTGATAAGCATGAGCGATCCACGTATTGGCCACAAGGATCTAAAACTGAGGCCCGGGGGAGCGCATCCTGGAAGGGAGTGTGCGCCGCGGAAAGGAGACCTGTGAAGATAGTGCCTTGAGGGAACCACCTGCGTGTAGGCTGAGGAAGATAAGGGGTCCACGTGACAACAACTGAAAAGGAGGCATCAGTGGGGCAGGAGGGAACCAGGAGAGTGGGCTTGCCGCTGAGAACAGGTGAAGAAGCAGCCTTCCCCTGGCATACTGTTTACATGTAGTATTTCGGACACCTCTGGTTTTTCACAGACATCCTTGTGTATGGGTGATGGAGGAGACAGGTCAGTATTATAACAATGATGCTAGAACGAATCCACACCTCTCTGTGGAAGTGAAGACTGATCTTGGTACTCAGCGTGGCTGTAGACATTGGATGTTCGGGGCATGTGCAGATGTGTGTGTATGCCTGCCCGCGCGTGTGTGTCTGGTGTGTGTGTACATGTGTCAACTTCCTCCGAGAGTGGAGGCTCTCAACCTTAGCTGCACTTTAAATCACCAATGCCTAGGTGGGATCCCAGACCAATTAAATCTGAATCTCTGAAGGTAGGACCCAGGCCTTGGTGTAATCCCTATGTTAATTGAACAAGCATGCACTAGAAATTATGCTCAAGGCATAAAATCAATAA